TTATTCTCTCTTTTTTTCCCCCCTCAAATCAAAAAATTCTTCTTTTTTTTTTTTGTGTTGGTGAACAATATAAGCCTAAAACAAATTCCATTTATTTCTTGAACTAAGAATAGAGATTGACTTTGCTTTTTCAAATTTTTAAGTAAACATGCAAGGATAAAAAAATCAATTATACACTAAGATTCAAATCCTTTTTGACAAAATTTTAAAACTATAACAATGCTCGATTATTAAAGATGTTATCAAGGATTCATCCTCAGTTTTTTTTAAAAAAATAATATTAAAGTATACATTTAGTCTTTTATTTTTTTACAAATTTTTATTTTGGTTTCTTAACTTTAAAAAATATATTTTTAATTATTTAATCTTAAAATTGTTGGTTTTAAAGATAATTTTTTATAATAATCATAGTTGCTTTAAAAATTAAATTTAATATATTAATATTTAAGAATATTTTATTAATATTTAAAATCTCAATATTATTATTTTTTTGTTAACATTTTAAGATTAAAAAAAAAAAAAATATTAAAATTAAAGAATCAAATAAAATCTCGTAAAAATAAATAATTAAATATATACTTTAATTTAAGGGAAAATGACAATAAAATACCACCTGAATTTCAAAAAGACAAATAAGGCACCTGAATAAGCAAAATGATATATAGAGGACTGGGTACCAATCTGGAATTCAGATTTTTGGCCAAAAGACCAAAATGCCCTGTCTGAAAGTGAGAGGAAGGAGAGAGGAAGACACTGATGAAATACGGGAAGGAGAGAGGAGGAAGACGCTGATGAAATCGGGAAGAAGAGAGGAAAGAGAGAGGAAGACGCTGATTTTCGATGGGTTCCCACAGCTTGAAATGTTATTGCCTAGCATTTCTCTAAAAAATTTTGGTTCTGTCTCTGTTCTTCGCATAAAATCATTTTCAAAGAATGTGAAGCTGTGGGAAAGATGAAGCGAAAATCAGAAAACAATGGCAAGCAATTACGTAACGTAACTACTGTCATATGCCTGCTGGTTTTTGGTAAATCTCACTACGTGAATGGTAAATTTCACTATACATGTAGTTAATTATGAAAGTTAATAGTTCAATGTTTATTGTGACGTACTTCAAATGCACGTTCACTGAATGATTTATTTATGCTTATAAGTTGCCTTTCCGGTGAAAACAGGTTTACAAAACCCATTGAAGAAGTAGTCACTTTCACTATAAAAGTTGTAAATCCCAGTATATGTTTTGTAAAATTCAACGTGAAATTTTATTAGTTTTTACAAACAAGTTGTTTATCTCCTGAAAACAAGTTGCAAAACCCATTAACAAAGTAGTCACTTTCACTACAAAAGTTGTAAATCACAATATGTATTTTGTAAAATTCATAATTAACTACATGTATAGTGAAATTTACAACCACTATAGTGAAAATGACCACTTCTTAAATGGCTTTTGCAACCAGTTTTCAGGGGATGGGCAACTTGTTTCTAAAAACCAATAAAATTCCAAACTGAATTTTACAAAACACACAGTGATATTTACAACTTTTATAGTGAAAATGACCACTTCTTAAATGGCTTTTGCAACCAGTTTTCAAGGGATGGGCAACTTGTTTGTAAAAACCAATAAAATTTCACGTTGAATTTTACAAAACATATACTGGGATTTACAACTTTTATAGTGAAAGTGACTACTTCTTCAATGGGTTGTTTTCACCGGAAAGGCAACTTATAAGCATAAATAAATCATTCAGTAAAAGTGCATTTGAAGTACGTCACAATAAATATTGAACTATTAACTTTCATAATTAACTACATGTATAGTGAAATTTACCATTCACGTAGTGGGATTTACCAAAAACCAGCAGGCATATGACAACAGTTATGTTACGTAATTGCTTGCCATTGTTTTCTGATTTCCGCTTCAGTTCACTCCCTCTCTCATTACAAATCCTCTTTCCCACAACCAAAATCAACAATCTCTACAAAATGGTGATGCGAAGGAGTAAGATAATAGCATTTCCAACATTCTTCTTTCCTTCTTCCCGCATTTCATCAGCGTCGGTCTTCCTCTCTCCTTTCTTTCACTTTCAGTGTCTGTCTTCCCACATTTCATCAGGGTATTTTGGTCTTTTGGCCAAAAATATGAATTCCAGATTGGTACCCAGTGCCCTATTTGTCATTTTACTTATTCAGGTGCCTTATTTGTCTTTTTGGAATTTAAATGGTATTTTATTGTCATTTTTCCTTAATTTAATAATAATTTGTTGTTTTCTTTTAAAAGATCATGTAAATGATTGGTGATTGGACAAGGAGAGGGGAGAGGTTGAGGGATGCATATGACGAAAGCATAATTATGCAAAGGATGCCACGTGGCGAATGCTGAGGCATAAGACAAAGGACACAGTGATGTGATGACATTGCAATCCAAAAATTACAAAACAAAAAACAGAAAACGAGGAGGACATCACCTCCCATAATGTCACTCCCTCCTTTTTGCAAAACACCTGAAAATGACTTTTCCTGTTGTACTTCTTTCTAATATTTTCACGCCTTTTAAGAAAACATATTACTTAAAATTTAAGCAAACTCATAATAAAATGTAAATTGAAAAAATTGCAAAAAAAAAATAAATTAAAAATTAAAAAATTGTATACAAGATTGTTTAAAAAATTATTATTATTTACTTATCAATTGATGTCAAGCGTAACACTAATATTATAATGGGTTCTTATTTATAATTTTTTTATTTTAAAGATTTTTTTTGTGATTTTTTCATGCAAATTTGTAAACTCACAGGAATTTATTTTGACTAATAAATTGATATTAAAGATGTATAATTAAAATATAAAAATATAATAATTTTATTCAAATATATTTTAGATACAAGTAACTAAAATTAAATTTATTAACATTTATAATTTATCATATTTAATAAAATTTTTTTACGTAATTCATATATAAAGTCATTAAATATAACTAAATTAAACAATTTAGCATCAATTCAACAGAGAGTTGATATGATTTTATATGCTAAAAACATAATAACGATAAATTTGGTGAATAAACTCATAAATTCAATCAAGTTTATAATTATAACAAGTTTAAAGGTGAGTCAATACAATTTTGTAAACTGAAAATATAAAAATATTAAACTTAAAGAGTAAACTTGCAAGTTTAACAATAATAACCATGTTTATTAAATACAGGGAGAATCTCACAAAAAAAAGTTCAAATTACTAAATCTTAAATAAAAAATTTCTATAAAAATGTTTTATTATTTACAAGTCCAATATTATCAAAATTATTAAAATATTGTTACTAAATTTGATATGAGATTTAGTAATTTTAGAATTCTCTTAAATTTATATGTGATTTTATTTTTTAATGAACATATGATATTCATAAACTCAAAACATTTAGCACAACATCAACACAAACCTATGATCCGCGACGTCCAGAGCATTTTTTTTTTTCCATTTGGTCAAACGCTACGTCCAGAGCTTGAGGATGACAAATAAAAGACACAAATTTCCAATGTTATTTAATTAATCTACAAGTAATTTATATTGTGAGATAAAGAATATTTCCAGAAGCAACGAATACTGTAGATTGAATGAAGTGTTATTTAATCTTTTCAAATCACTCTTGGTTAACATCCCATTAATTGAAATTTCTATATTTTTTAATGTAATTCGTGGTATTAAATGGGGATAAATTTAGAAGTATTTTTATTCTCAGATAAAGTTAATAACTCATCTCTCTTTAATTTTAATGAAATGGTCCCAAGTGTCATATAACATAACATGAGTGAGTTCATCTTTAAATTTATAAAAAGATATTTACAAATATAATTTACTGCTATTAAAATTGCTTAGACCCACTCTTTTCCTTTAATTACGAAGAAGACTAGTCAACACGGTTAGGGATAATGATATCCAATTATTAAAAAAGATACTAAGAAACGTAATCAAATTTTTGTTTTTTCAAAAGAAGCCCAAAATTCAATGGCCTTTACCATTACAAAGAAGAGCGCCACAGGCAGCTTCCCCACTTTGGTCCACAAAAAACATCATTGTCAATCCAGCTTTTATGGGGTGGTTTCCATTTTCCAATGTGTCCTTATAACTAATGTTAAGAATAACGTTTTTAAAAATTTGAAACTTGATCACACTTTATTAGGAGATATACTTATATTTAGTATCCGTTAATATTTTGAATAAGATTGTCTCTAATAAAAAAATAAATATATATAACCAAAATAAATTTGAAGTTTGGTATCCATAATCACTATTACCTCTGTTCCCAAATATAAGAGTTAGTTTATAGTGGGATCGGAGATAATATTTAAATAGGAATACTTATGTCATTTCAGCACTTTGAGTCCTTCTTCTTCTTCTTCTTTTTTAATTGTTTTATACCAAACTTCCAATGCAAAATTCGTCTATGATTTCTTCTTGCCCAGCATACACATTTTTACTTTTAGCCCAAAAATTATCAAGAAAATCCCAATAAAGTAACACTTAAGATTTGAAATTCTAAAAAAGTAACCCCAACAAACAAAATCTCAAATTGGTCATTGGCACCAAAAAGAACTTTTAGTTGAAGATTCTTTTTTCCCAAAATTCTTTTTAGTTCAAATTTTAAATAATATTTTATTGGATTTTCCCAAAATTATCTTCCCAACTGAAGCTTCTTTTTTCCTCTTCATCTTTCCATTTCCTACAAAATACTCCATTCTTCCAAATAAAAAAAAAGTGTTGAAACAATGGAGAGCTTGCCAATCTCTAATATTTAGCCTCTTAAGTTTTACTTGGATCTTCAGGGGGGAAAAAACATGCAATATAAAACATTTTTATTTAAAGCATAATTCAAAGGAAATTAAAGTATTTTACTTGGATCTTCAGGGGAGAAAAAACATGAATTTTGTGAAAGACTGTTATTTATCACTTTCATCTCACATCTGTAAATCGAAAACCAAACATTTGGGATTCCTAATCTTTCTCCCTGTCCTGCTTTTTCTTCTTTTGGCAACCAAACAGTTACTATTTCCTTTTAGGTTCCCAACTCTTTTTCTGCTTCTTCTTCCTCTCTTTCCTTTTTGGTTCCTTTTGACTTACCCTTACTGGGTTCCACTACCAGAGCCATGTCAACAGCGAGAGATCCTGCTATAAAGCTTTTCGGTAGAGATATTCCTGTAGATTCAACACGCAACACCGATTCGCCTCAAGTTATGGTATTCTTTCACTCTCCTCTATTCTGTTATTTTAATTTTAATTTTTTATTCCTTTGGAATATAAATTACCCATAAGTTTTTACGAACTTGTAATTTTGTTTGTCTTTTGAACTGTACGCAACCATACATTCTGTAACTGGTGTCTTTTGAGCGAGTTTATTTGTGTTGTTTGTGGTTTGTGATTTTCATGGGGAGCGCAGGTTCTAGATGTATTTATTGACTTTCTTTCTCGGGAGCATTGTAGTTATGTGGTTGATATTTCATTATAGCTTTGAAAGTTAGCTGAGTACAAGAAAATCCTTTTGGTTTGGCAACTGCTTGCACCCGTCGCTGTGCGGCATATTTAATAATCTGTAGTTAAATTAAAGTGACAGGACCACTAAAGATTTTTTGATAAGCTGTCTCAAAGGTGGTTGATATATACATTTGTGTTCCAGAAGGAGACTAAAAATGAAAAGGAAGAAACTTGATGGGGAATTCAAGAAAAGATAAATTATAGGTTTAATTTCTAGGTATTTGCTAGCACTGATTGATTGGGTCTCTCAAAAATACTTCTTATTGGAGAATCTAATTGTGAAGGACTATGAAACTTTACCTTGTCCAGTCATCAAAGAAAATGTACAATGACTTAATATGATATTTTCTCTCTTGGGTTGGGACTAGATTGTTCAAAAAGTGATGAACGCCTTAAATTTGACCAACTTAATTGAGGTGTTCTCGCAGAAATATAGTTGGAATATAAATCGAGATTTATGCAAGATGATTTTTGTGCTTCTGTCATGTTGGAACATTGAACTGTAGGACTTTCAACTTGATTCTTATGTCATTTTTTCCCCCATATACTACCAATTTCTGGATTATGAAGCATGAAATGGGCTTATATATCTGTGGAAATTGCATGTCAATCTTTTGTTTAAAGATTAATATGTTATGCTAGCTCTGTAATTTGATTATGGAGCCTTTTGGGCCTAATCTAAGTATTCTACTATCTTCAATCGTATGCCCTTTGATAAAGTTTAGTCCTTAATTGCAGAACAGGTATGATAAATCGACAATTGAAGGCAATGTTCCATTCAGAGCTGGTAAGCAGCATAATTCTATTGAAGAGGCAGATGTAGACGTTTATGGAAGTCCTACTATTGATGTGGAGGCTAAAGTAGATCACAGAACTAAAAACTACAAGGCTGGTAGTAGAGATATGGATCATCAAGAAAAAGTTTTGAAGAAACCAGACAAGGTTCTCCCTTGTCCTCGCTGCAACAGCTTGGAGACTAAGTTTTGCTATTTCAACAATTACAATGTTAATCAACCTAGGCATTTCTGCAAAAATTGCCAAAGATATTGGACAGCTGGGGGGATAATTAGAAATGTTCCTGTGGGTGCTGGAAAGCGCAAAAATAAACATTCGCCATTACCTGTTGGCCCAGATTCAGCATCTGTTGCCCACACGGACTCCAACTCGCCCCCTACAGTTTCAAGACCTACTGGAGGAATGGGAAATAGCCCAGGAATTGGGGAGGATGCTCCTCTTTGTGAATCCTTGGAGGCTGTGTTAAATCTAAAAGGCCAGAAGAAAACTGAAGTTGACTCCTCTATTGGTGATGATGGTGAGGAGGCTTCCAAGGATTTTGAATCTAGGGAAAAGGAATGCTCGGCAAATGAAATTGAGCAGGTAGATTTGCAGCAACAAGTAAATGGTTTTAATCCTCTACATCCACTTCATTACTATCCTGTACCTCCCTGGGCTTACCAATGGAGTCCATGTTGGAATTCAATGGTATTTAGACCTGGTCCTGCTTACATGGGCTCTGCATCCATGATGGCAGTCCCAGGTTTCACTGCACCAACAATGGAATTCTCACCAGGACCTTTCTATTCAAGTCCCCTACCAAGCTGGACTGGCCAGAAGGAAGAGTCTCCATTTGCTGGGTCTACATTTAGTGGCATCCCATCACCTTCCTCTTCCACTAGCAGCAGTGTTTGTTCGGGGACTAAGTCTCCAACCTTAGGAAAACATTCCAGAGATGTAAGTACTCAGACAGGTGATGCAATGAGACGGAATCTTTGGGTACCTAAGACTCTGAGAATTAATGATCCAGAAGAAGCTGCAAGGAGTTCTATATGGTCTGCTTTTGGTACAAAGAGAGAACAGAACAAACCTATTATCAAAGGCAGCGTTTTTAAGTCTTTTGAACCTAAGTCGGAAGGTGCAAGTTCTCATATTTCAAATACTGATCAAATTTTGACCGCAAACCCTGCTGCGTTTTCTCGCTCAGAATCATTTCAGGAAAGAATGTAAAATCTTGCATTTCATTCTGCTTTTATTGCTGAGGTGAGCTAGACCATGTCATGCTGGCAGTTGTTGTTTGGATGAAGCACGGAGGATTTCTGCTTCTTCCATTTTGTCATGGCTAGTTACAGGTCACTATATCTCAAAAGATAATCTATGACAGTATGACACAAACTTTTGAGGGATTTCTGAGCTAATTCTTCTCGGTTTGGTAAGAATACAAGATTATGGGACTTTAATAGCTTTCATGTTTAAATCTCACGGGCCACCTCATAAAAAGAGTCATCAGAATCGGAATGTCCTTTTTGCGTGGGATTACGGCAATTTATTTTAGAGGTATGACCTTTGAACTCCATAGCAGTTGCAATCAAGATGATTTCTTTTCCATTTAATTTTCAGCTACTTCTGTCATCTACTAGTCAGTTTTAGGAGTTTGCATGTCCTATTCACTTCTCTGTGCACAATTTTTGAGATTTTCTAGATTTTTTTTTTTAATCAGTTCCTTCTCTCTCTCTCTCTGTGTTATTGTATCTTAAAAATTGATAATAAGAAAAAGAAAGATGCTCAGAAAAGCTTCTTTCTGCAAACCATTTTAGCAGAGTTTTCTTGCTCTCTCTTATATTCTGAGGAAACCAAAACTATGCTATTTATTACAGTGTCTACCACAATCTAGTGGAGTCTTTCACGCTTAATGACATTACGTGGTTTAGAACACTATATAAATTGTAAATTGCTATGAGGATATTTTCTCTTTTCTTATTTGAATTTTATTTTTATAGAGCATCTTTCTTTATTTCGTGACCCCCCTTGTTTTAATCTGAATATTAGTTGTCCTTCTTATCGTATAATATTTGATAAACTTCTGTTTATCTTCGTCATATGTTTCCTTTGATTTAATGTGGCTTGTCAATGTTGATCATAGCATTTCTATGAGGTGACTGGACTGAGCACTATTTGCTTGTTGAGAGAACTTTCCTTTTTTGTTTTTGTTTGTTTTTGGTCTATTTTATTTTTGGCTTTGTGGGAAGGGTAGAATTTTTTCACGCACCTTTAGACATAAAAGCTTGCCAACATGACTGCTAAGTGACTGCTTATATTCATACTTTATCGGCGACATGACTGCTAAATGAGCATTTGTAACATTCTTGTAAAATTGAAAAAAGTGATGGGAGTCCATGAATCATGATTGTCTGCAATTATGATTCATTTGGGTGATTCATGGTGTTTGGTTGTCTTTAGTGATGGCAAAGGGATTACATCATATGCTTCTGATTGCTGCACTATGAAGGGGGATTACATCATGTCAAAAGACATTCATGTCCTTGGTTCACCTCCCTCAACCATACTGAGCCCCCGCCCTCCGTCACCAGAAAGAGGGAGGCTTTTTTTTCCCCCTCCTGAAAGGATATTTTTGTCCTTTTGATTTTATCTTTTGTAAAGTACGTACAAAAATATATTTTATTACCCCATTCTTAATATTGTGCCAAACAAACTTACTGCAATCACCATTACATTCCATCACATTCCCAACCACTCTATTTCCAAGCATTCAAGGAACAAAACAGGCCATAAAGTTTTGAGGCTTGTCTCTACTATTTATTTAAAGGGAGGTTTGATCATTTGAGACCCTTCCCAGGCTTAGATTATCACAGAACCACCACATATAAGCTTTGCATATCTGGCTGATCAGCATGATGGACTGACCAACCCATGATTTCATATTTTCTTAGCTAATTCTGGAGAGTGGAGAGAAATCTGTAAGTCTGTTTGAGGGAGACATTCTTTGGTCATACTTGAAACAGTGTGTAAAACCACAACTTATGTGTAAGGAAATTGCGAAAAGGACAAAATTCAGGTGAAGTTCTGAATGTGACGTGATATTTTTCATAAAAATGGAACACATGGACAACTCTTCTCTAAGTAACCATGGATTGCTTAAAAGAAATTCTTCTCATGTCATCATATTTTATTGAGGGGTTTCATTGCATTTATTTTTCCATTGAAAGAAATCTTGAAACCCTATCAGGTCGGTTATGCAAGGAAGTTCATTCTAAACATTATTGACTGAGATGAGTCTTTCATTGGGAGGCTGTGATCTTCGTGTTTCTGGAAATAAACAGAGGTTCTTCATACTTTTGATTCATATATTATAAAAGTTATATGGGGGAAACAAATTTGCAACGGCAGTGTGTAGAAGCTTGGCAATTGTTCAGGAGTTGGAGGTGTTATTTCTGATTAAATCAGAAAACAAGATTGGTTGGCTACTCAAAATGTGACTGCCAAATAGCATTGTAAGGAATTCATTGGGGGATATTTTTAAGTGGTTTCATAGCATTTTTTAAAATATTTATAGGTCTTTTTAATGATTTCCGAGAATTCAATTCATTTAAACACTTTTTTAACATTAAAGAAAAAAGGCTAAGATACAAATTTGTTTCAGAAATTTTTACTCATGAACGTTGGGCATTTGAAAGGTATTTTGGGTGTGAATATGTCTTGCAAATTTAAAGTCATAGTAATTTTGCCTTGTCTTGTTAACATTGACCATTAAATTAGTGACATGGATTGTTAATTTTACTAGTAAAAGGTAGCATTATTGTGATTTTAAACTTTTACAAGAAATTTGCACAATTTTTTTTCCCGAGTGCCCAACGCTTGAAGCAAATCTGTACCTTAACTCTTTTAAAAACAATTGCATTCCATCAGCGATGGGTGTTTGTTCTTTGCTTAATGCGTAAAAGAAATGTTTTTATGGTATTATTTTCTTATATATTTTTCCCATGTAATGTATTGTTTTTATAATCGTCGTTGGCATTTTTTACGATTTCAAATTTTTGAATCTCTTTCAAAATTTCAAAATTATGTTTCTAATATTATGTAAAAATGACGGATGATTGTTAAGTATATATAAAATGATTATTTTTAAGGAATATATTTTGAATAATCATAATTATAGTTTTCGTCAATGAATAAAATTATTTATCATTTTTTTCAAAAAAAAAAGTGGTTTAGGCCGCATCTAGAGCACCTCTACATAGATTTTGCAGACTGCACATAAGGCCGGGCCGGCCTATGTGCATCAATATCACCCATTCTATAACAAAATTCTTGTTATTAACACTTTAAAAGTAACTTATTTTGATTTAATTGTTCAAAAATATATTAAATACATAAAACTTAATACTTTTAAGTCTGAAATGGAGAATGTAGAAGCATTTCAACGTTAATCCTTAGAATGAGATAAAATATAAGATTAGAAACATATACAATATCTGTGCATCTATGCATCATAAAAAATTAATAGGAAACATTAATAGTCCATATTATAATTTTTCACATAATAAATAATTTTTTTATAGACGACAAACGAGGACAAGAAGATAGAATATTTTATATATATATATATATAGCTATTATAAAAGACTCAGAAAAAGGTGATTTGATAATCCCGACACTAATAATCAAGATACCTCCATATAATATGGAGTATAAAAACCCACATTATTGATTTATCTAAAAAAAAGTTGAGTTCACAATACCCCAAAATAAATATTAAGAGAAATTGGGAATAAATCCTTCATTAGATAATTGGCAAATAATTTCTCGAACGATAAATTACACCCAAAAAAAAATAATTTGCACAAAACATTACATATAAAACTAAATTCACATAGAAAAGATGACTTGCAAATTAAAAAAAATTTCAGCTAAAAGTTGAGTTGCATGTTACATATGTATGGATGGATTGCATACAAAGAAAGATAGGTTACACAAGTGAAATTGAGTTGTATACAATAAAAATTGAGTTGCACAATGTCCTTAAGGATCATGTTTTAGTTAATTTCTTAATGATTGATGTATTCCCAATTTTTCCAAAAATACTATGTTAACCTTTGTGCATGGGAAAGACTTAAATCAGTAGAACCATCATAAACAGTAAAAAAAAAAAAAGCATGGCAGTAATAGGCAACTAGTTCCATTAAAGAAAGAAGAAATTATACACTATCATTATTGGACAAAGCCAAAAGAAATACATGTCATGTGCTTCCATATTTGCCTAATAGATAACCTGTGTACGTTCATAAATTATATCAGAAATACATATCTGATGCCAGCAAAAACCAATCTACATAATAGAGTTCCTCAGTACAATTTAAGCTCAAAGTTATCCTATGCGAAAGCTCCTCTCAATTTATGAGTCAACTCTCAAAAGGGAGAATATGGGGAAAGCAAAAGAAACTTATCAGAACATCATACTGAAGATCTCACATTTTTTCTTCCCCTATGCTCATTTCCCCCCCATTATTGTTGTCAGTTTTTTTCAGCTTCTTTGGGTTGAGAACTAACGTCCATCTAAAGTATGTTCCAATATCCAACCTGAACCATAACTGCAAAGCATTTTACAGGGTTCCCAATTCAATAAAGGAAAACGATGGGACAACCTCACTTTAGAAGCCGTCTATGAAACATCAATGAAATCATATGTAGTAGGCGTTTGACATGATGTTACAAATTGTACCTGGCCACATGAGCTATCTCCCATCATTCAAGGTTTCAAGGGGCCTTTTGCCTTCTCAAACTAGCTTTCGAGCTTCTAAAAGCCATGCCAAACACACCAATCTCAACCATCTCGGTATATGTACTTTTCTTACAAAGCCATCAAGGATCAGCGACCTTTAGATTTTCTGCGTCTCCCTAGCAGTTTTAGCATGTTGTCAGTGACATCAGGGCGAGAGCTGTTGTCTTCATCTTCATCTTGATTATTTTCAGAGGTGTGAGTCAACCAAGCCAATGCCTCTATAGCAGCATCTCTCTCTGCTAGCTGCTTGTTTCTCTTGGGTTTGCCAACAAACTGCATTCCTTTGAACTCCACCAGTGCCCTAAACTCATTTGTTTTAAGGTGTTTTGTTTTGTACTTGGGAGGAGAATGCCCTGCACGCATCAACAGTGTTTGTAGCAAGCTTTTGGGGTTTGTCCCATCTTTTGTGAATTTACTCTCATCATTAGCTACCTTCGGCTTCCTTGTTTCTCGGCCAAATACAAATCTTCCTTCACATTGATCCCCCGCCACAAGTTCCTGGACAGCAAGCATCAAGTACTTCCCTTCCTTGTGGATGTCGGTCTTGGGATCTTCCAGCTGCACGTTAAATGAATCAGCAAATTGATCAGCTCATGGGCAATGTTTATGAATGAAGATTTCCAACTCGAAATAACTTCTGGATGCACTAGTACAGGCTTTATTTGTTAGTGAATCAGTTGCTTAAAGTTAGTTTTATCATTAATTGTATCTAAACAGGAGATGTTATCAGCAGATCTACTTTCTCCAGTTGTTTATTTGATAACAGTATTTTAGAATGGTAAATTTAACTATTTATGCCCATCGTCGGCATTTCTTTGAATTGAGAGAGTGTACCGCTAGTTTGGGTTTCAGACGAGGGAGACGTAGTTCGGAAAATGAGAAGAGTAATACAACTTTAACAACGTCGAGGACAGTATTTTAGTCAAATGGATGGAAGTGCAGCAAATTGTTCAAGGGAAGGAGAGTATGCATATTTATTGACATTAAAGGAAACAACTACAACAACCAAGCTTTTGTCCCATTAGATGGGATCAGCAACATAGGTCATACAATACTATTTTACTTTGTCAATAACTAAATCTTTAGATATATTGTTAATAAAAAAAAAAATCCCGTTCAATAACTAGAAGAGAAGCTTATGTAATTTCTGATTTAAAAAATATATTTAATAGTATTTATAGATATTTAATTAACAATAAAAATAAATAGAATAAATACAAAGGGAAAACCATATTGAAGGTGTCTATACTTTCTCTCAATTTTTAATTTGATACCTATGTGTTTTTTTCTCTTTTAATTAAACATTTAATTTTACTTTTTTAGCAACATTAGCTTTTATGTCTTTGCTCTATCGATATTTTTAGTTTCTATGTAAGGATTAATAATGTTAATAGAGTAAAATTAAAGATTTAGTTAAGAGCAAAAAACATAGAGGTACCAAATTAAAAATTAAAAAAAAAATATAAGTACTTCCAATATGGTTTTCCCCAAATAGAAATATTATTTTCTTAATTTTAATTAATTAATGATATTTATCATATCTTATTTATATCTTTATATTTATATTAAGTTTTACATTTCTATTTAGCTTTCATAATTTATTCAAGAAAAATTATAGGCTTTCATTTAAAGGATAGGCTTACTTTAAGTTTCAGATCAAAATAACACTACCTTGTGCTTTGTCAAACACGTCTCAACGGGCTTTTGCCGCAGGTACTTGTCAAAAGATAATAAAACCATTTATAGAACTTCACATGAACTTTTACGTTTGAGATGTTCCATTTAAGAATAAACTGACAATTTTGATAAGGAAAGCTTGCAACTTCCCTGCATCTTACTTAGAAGGTGTTTGAATCAGGCCAAACCATGGTTTGGAGAATAACTCCTGGAGAGAATAAATTTGTAAAAAATAGATTTTGTGAAAAAATAATTCTGATAAAGT